TTTTTTTGGTGGAACCGGGGATTGAACTCAGACCCTTGCACTTGCCAGGGAGGTGCTTACTCTACTGAGCCATCTCCCCGGCCCAACGTTTTGGTTTTTGACAGAGCCTACTATGTTTCTTAGAAAGTGTAGTCACAGGAAACTCAAAGATTGAGAAGCAGGATAGGACAGTGAGCAGGTCTTAACCTGAACTATGGTCAGGTCCCCCGGAGACCTGATTACACTACAGATGGAGAGGACCCTCCCCGAGGAGTTTCAGGGTCTATGGATTTGGGTGGGAGGAAGAATAATTAGCATTTATAACAAGTTCCCAGGGGACGTCCCTGTTGCTACTGCTGTGGTGGCTAAGAGCATGGACTGTGGAATCGGGGTGTCTGGGTAAGAGCTTTTCCTGCCCCTTATAAATAAAATGAGAATTTGAGCAAATCACTTGGCAAATCTACAAGGTGGGGCACACAGTAGCTCAGCCTTGTGCAACAGCTGAGTGCAAATGCTCCCTGTAGATGGGGTTGTCCTACTAAACCCATCACAAGTAAAAGTACTGCATAAGAAAAAGATGCCTGGAGCATAAGAGTGGCCTAATGGATATCAGTTAGCTGTTATCACCCACGCCTTCCCCCAACACTTATGAACCGAGGGCTTCCTTTGGATCAGGCATTGTACCAGGTGCCCAGATTATACCATGAGGAAGCCAAGGTCCCTCCCCCTTGGTGAACCTACCGTCCACTGAGGAGGCATGTGATGGATGACCGTGGCAAAGCAGACTACAATGTTACTCGGAAAGATTCCGCATTCTAAGCAAACTTGTCCCAGAGCCCCCCAGTCTTAGTGTTTGGGGACAGACCCCCAAGGTCCCATGAGACTGAAGAAATGAGGCAGATAGATCTAGGATTGCACGGAGTGCAATTTGTGGGGAGATTTACTGGGGGAAGCGTGGGCCTGAGCACCAGCAAGACCAGTTAGAGTCCCACAGTTGGGGTCACAAAGAAGGTATATGCATGAGTTAGGACAAAAGTGATTTCATTCCGACAGAAACGTATTTGCTTTATCTTACGATAACATTTGAGTCAGGTGTGTACCTGGAGCCAGGGTCCAATTGTGAAGTCCCACACACTGCTCTAACAGCTGTATCTATTTTTAGCTTGCCATTAAACTGTGAAGAAAAACACCAGCTAGAATTACTCAGGGGAAATCATGGCAGTTATAATTCAAGATGGCTGCGGTCATGTCAAGCCGTATCCATAGGGAACTGAACAGCAGGTACACAGGGAATTTTACAAGATCTTGTTCCAGTCTTGTTTGACTCTTCTAGCTTCAGGAGTCAACATTATCACATCCCTAAGGGTCCTTAGCAAATTGGGGCTCATCATGGTGATAGAATACAGCTCCAGTAATGGGATAGTCTTGCTGGCCAATCCTGCAGGTTTTATTTGAGAAGAAAAAAAAATGAAGCAAGAACAGTTTGGGGGAAGACTGTGACAGAAAGAAAAGAGTAAGTGGTAATGGGCCAGATGTCTTACATGTGTTATTTGATCCTCACATTCATCTCTGAGGAGATCTAATTGGGGGAGGACGGAAGCAACCTGGCTAAAGCTAAGTGTGGGGAGTGGCACGCTTATGATCTCAACAGCCAGTGGTCAAGTTTGCTTTGAGAGGGAGCAGAGAATAAGATCACTATCCTATCACGTGTTCCATTTAATCCCCTTCTTCTGGGTCACCAGGCAGGGGCCAGGTGCAGCCATAAGCACCATTACGTATCTGCCCTGTGTCCTACCCTGTTTCTATGGAAGTGATAGCAATGTACTTGGATGCAGCAAACACAACCACCTTGGAATCATAGTGCTGGCCCCAGGGGCAGCCTCACACCCCTCCTGGTACTTTGGTCTTCTTGCCATGTTTCTCTCTCTCTCTCTCTCTCTCTCTCTCTCTCTCTCTCTCTCTCTCTTAAAATTATATACAATCTTTTCTGAACAATACTGGGAACTGGTGTTACATCCTCAGCCCTTTTAAATTATTTTTAGCTTGAAACAGGACCTCACTAAATTGTCCAGGCTGGTCTTGAACTTTTAGTCCTCCAGCTTTAGCCTCCCAAGTAGCTAAGTGTGCCACACTATGCCTGACCCTCACTAACATTTTGATCCCAATTCCTCTCAGTAACTCAGATCACAGGGACCCTGTCTCCTGTGTTTACTAATCATCTCTTTCCAGTGTACATATAGGAATCCAACTGGGGGGTTTATTTTATTTGCTTTTAATCTGGAAAGGAAATTGGCCCTCTAAATTTTGTTGGTTGACAGTCCTAGATTCGGGGCATAGGTAGGTACATGTTCAGGGCTTTTTTCCTTCCAAGCACTTACTTCCCCTCTTCGGGATTAAAATATACTGCCTACCTTTCATCATATGGGCCTCTCTATTCAAGAAGCGCCATTGGGTTAATTGTTGTATGTTATTTTTGTTTTTTTAAAAAAGCTCTGATAGCTTTCTGTTCCTTGGCATGTATTTGAATCTTGGTGATAGCTGGGATTGGTCGTGGCCTTGAGACCTTCATTGGTGATGCCTGGCGGTTGCAGCGTGTGGTCTCTTTGGTTCTGGCTCTCTGGAAACGGTCTGCGAGAACCCGGAGCAGCCTGGAGGGGCGGAGCCGGAGGGAGGATGGCAGCAAGCGCCTCCGGTAACCTAGCAACCGGTGCTGCGCAACGACCGAGGAGCGGAACCAAGGCAGGAAGTCGGAACTACGAGGCCCAGTCTCGCGAGAGTTGCGTTTGCGCGCGAACTGTGAGTGTGGTGTTCCTGGGGTCGGTGGCGGCCGGCGGTTGGTTACACAGGTGTTTGGCAGCTACCGCTACCGCCAAGGCCCTGGTCACTTTAGTCTTCCCGCCATGGAGAGTCCAGAGTTCAAGCAGCAGGAGCAGCAGCAGCCCGCGGCGAAGATCAGGAACCTTCCCTGGTAGGAGGCTGGGCTGTCGCGCTGGGAAGGGGGTCGCGGGCAGGTGGGGCGTGTGGCGGGACCCTACCTGACTCGCCCGGCCGCCCCCGGTGAGCCGCGGCGCGTGGCCTTGACGCCCGCACCACCCCGCGCGCCGGTTTCCTGGGTCCCTGCCTTCTACTTAGAACGGGTCGGTGCCCATCCATTCCTCCCATCCCTTTTCCAAAAATGGAAAACGGCTATGACTTTCGCACCTGGTAAGGACAGCCCAAGAACCCGATCCCGTGCCTCCAAGCCAGATCGCCCTCTTGCCTCCTGCCAAAATATTCGATGCGACTGTTTGTCGAATTTTAAAGTAAAACCGTAGTAACAGTTTGTTTGTTTGTTTGTTTACTGAACGTCTTGCTATTAGATGAGCAGGCATCCTATTATTTAAACCTTTATAAGATCTAAGAAGTAGTTTCTGTTATTGTTACAGTTTTACACACAAGGAAATTGCATCTTAGGTTGAATGACTTGCTAAGGTGGAGGGCTAGAAAAAGCCTTGGATTTGAATCCAGGTAGTCTGAATTCAGAGCTTGCACTCCAAATCAACGTACTGCAACAGCTATCTCCTAGTGATGTGAGACTTTGTTGGGATTTGGCTTCATTTAGGAAAACAAGTTGTTCCTGTAACAAATTTGCTTTTGTCACGGTGAGAAAAAAAAATTTGCAGTTGGAACCATTTTGAAGTGTAGAATTAGGAACATTCAGAATGACGTGCGAGTATCCCAGAATCTAGTTCCAGTAACTTTCATCATTCCTAATGGAAACCCTGACCATAGTCATTGGCAGCCGCTTCATCTCCCTTGCTGTCTGCTCCTGGAAACCACTAGCATTCTGTTTATGGATTTGCCCATTTGGGCATTTCATGTGAATGAATCATGCACCATGAGGCCTTTTGTGTCTGGAGTCTTACATTTAGCATGTTTTCAAGGTTCATCCATGTGACAGCATGGATCAGTTCTTCTTTTCTTTTTATGGCCAAATCCTACTGCATTGTATGCATAGCCCACACTTCATCCATTCGTCTGTTAATCGATATTTGCATGTGAGTTTAGTTTCAGGTTCACTTTGAAGTAGTAGGTGTTCCTGCAGGTTGATCTGACTTTTGGCGTTTTGGGCCTGAGACTGGGCAGCGGAACAGTAGAGGAGAGCGGTCCTGTGCATTGTAGCATGTTCAGCAGCACTCTGGCACCTACCTGCAAGATGCCAGGAGCAGTTTGTGCCCAGTTCTAACAACTAAAATGTCTCCAGATACCATTGTATGTTCTTTGGAGCACAAATTCCTCCTGGACACTTGTGTGTATTCAAATTTAAAAGGTTTCTCTCTCTTCCTCTTTTAATTAGATTGTGAAAGGATTTTTTTTTACATATAAAGAAAAAATTCTTGCAGTTACGTATGTTGTAATACATTGTAAATTATATTTCAGGGTTGAAAAATATCGGCCACAGACACTGAATGATCTCATTTCCCATCAGGACATTCTGAGTACCAGTAAGCATCCGTGTGTCCACTGCTGTTACCCTAGTTGAAAGATCTCTCTGTCCTTGGTGATACTCTGTTGAGCTTTGTAGAATGTGGTTTTAAGACTTTTTATTCCTGCGTCTGCCTCTGATTAGGGCATTGCTTTGAGTTGAAGCACATTCAGCCTCACTCAAAAGCTCACATTGAATAGCTCAGTGAATTAAAGTGCCTGCAAGCAGGTGCAGGGACTGGGGGTTCAATCCCGGGACCTGCTGTGTCGGCCCTACCCCTGGGGCATGCTGAGACAGAGCCTGGGCGTGGTGGCATGGGCCTGTAATCCTAGTTCTTGGGAGGCTGTAAATAGGCGGATCACTAGTCTGATCTAGTAGTGAGACCCTCAACACCCTGTAGACCCTTCCCTAAAATACAAAAAAGAAAGAAAGAAAAGAAAAACAAAAACAAAAAGAGCTCACATTGAGTGAGGTGGCCCCAAAAACTGATGGTGTCTTTTTCTTCCTGATCATCAGTTCAGAAATTTATCAGTGAAGACCGACTGCCACACCTGCTCCTCTATGGCCCTCCAGGGACCGGAAAGACATCCACCATTCTTGCCTGTGCTAAACAGTTATACAAGGATAAAGAATTTGGCTCAATGGTCTTGGAGGTAAATAGAATTATTCTCTTTCTACAAGTAACTAAGAACCCCAGTTGCCTAACTTTTGGTCTGCCAGTTTTATTCAAGGCCCCCACTGGCAGCTGAAAAAGAAGCAGAGTTGAGCCGAGATACTTTACTTCAAATAATGGTCAGTCTTATCTGCATTGGCATGTGTCAGCCAGACAGCAGTTGAGGGGCAAGACGTTCTTTTTGCTGTTGCTAACTTAGCCAAACTGAACGTGATGGTCACTATGTACTGGACCTTCTGTTACTCACCCCACTGCATCCTTTCTCCACTCTTCACCAGCCCATCCTTACCTGGATGGCCGAGCTGTGTGGGTTAGAAGCTCCCTTACTGTCCGGCTCCTGCTTGTGTTTGGCCTGTAGGGGTACTGGCAGGGCTCAGAGAGAGTGAGAGACTAATGCCTGGATCTGCCCTGGGGGTTGGCACGGGTAGCAGTCCACGGTCTGCTCCAGGTACCTACAGAAGCTCCTTTCCTAAATCCTGGCAGGCTTGGAGCGATAATTATTGCATAGCCCTGTGCTTTGTTTTTGTTTTCCAAGATTGATTGATTGATTTGGTACAGGGTCTTGCCACACAGCTGTGACTTGTAGTGATCCTCTTGTCTCAGCTTCACCAGCATGCGAGTACAGACGTGTGCCACCACACTGAGTTTCAGTGGCTGGCACAGCATGGGGTTAGGGGAGATCAAACCCGGGTCCTTGCGCTTGCCAGGCAGGCACTTGGACTGCTGAGCTATCTCCTGGCCCAGCCCTGTGCTTTTCTAGATCTGAACTTGCTTTTTGTTTTCAGACAGGGTCTCACTATGTAATTGGGGTTGACCTTGAACTCACTGTGTAGTCCAGGCTGGCCTTGAGTTTAGGACAATCTCCTGCCCTCAGCCTCCCAAGTGCTAGGATCACAGGCATGCACCACCACACTCAGTCCTGAACTATATATTTTAAAAATTCTGTTCCTTTAATTGTCTTTAAGTTACTGCATTTAAGTATGCTATTTGTAACTTTTTATTTATTTTTGGCAGAACCGAGGTTTGAACTCAGGCTCTTGTGCTTGCCAGGAAAGCGCTTATTCTACTGAGCTATCTCCCCAGTCCCTCTATTTATAACTTGGACAGATACACTTAGATTACAAAAATCTTAAGTATTGTCTGTTGCAAGAAAAGTGATACACTTACTCTTCAGATGGGCCTAAGAACCTTCCTGCCTGTAGTGTTCTTCAGTGTATTCAGGATGTGGTAGCTTCTGTTGACCTGAGTTGTAGCAGCTAAACATAGCTAGAAGTGCTGTTCAAGGTGACCAGGCCAACTGCCTATTCCAAAATGTATGTGGATGGAGTATCTTCAAAAGCTGGGGGGGGGGGGGGGGGGGGAAAACAACCGGGGGGATAAGGGGCCCCGAAAGGGGGGGGGGGGCGCAAATAGCTCAGTGGATTAAGGCACCTGCAAGCAGGAGTGGGAGCCGGGGGTTCGTTCCCCGGGCCTGCTGTGCCGGCCCTGCCCCCAGAGCATGGCAATTGGGACTGGGCATGGTGGTGCACGCCTATAATCCCAGCTCTTGGAGGGCTGTAAACAAGTGAATCACTACAAGTCCGATCTAGTAGAGATCCTGAACACCCTGTAGACCCTTCAGTTAAAAAAAAAAAAAAAAAAAGCTCAGGCGAGGAGATAGCTTGGCAGTCTGAGCGTCTGTCTGGCAAGGACATGGGTTGGACCCCCAGTACCACGTGCTGTGCTGGCCCTGGGTGTACCGTGCCAGCTGTGAAACTGGGCATGGGGGCACACGCCTGTAATCCCAGCCCTGGGGAGGCTGAGACCAGACGATCACTACAAGTCCAAGCTGCATAATGAGACCCCGTACCAAATAAATAAGTAAAACATTAAAAAAAATTCTTTTTAAATTTGAGGGAAAGACCATTTGTCTTTCAGATGCAATGATAATTTAGTGAGCTTTGACTACAACTGTGACTTTTTTTTTTCCCTGAGTAATTATCTTGTAGCTGTCATCAGACCTGGAGAACTACTTTGCTGGATTGATGAGTAGACTAAAACTAAGAATTCAAAGATAATAAACAGTATTGTTCATTATGGCTTCTCTTTTCATGTAGCTGAATGCTTCTGACGACCGGGGGATAGATATCGTTCGAGGACCAATCCTGAGCTTTGCCAGCACAAGGACAATATTTAAGTAAGAATTAACTATATCATTTCTCTCCCTAGAGAGTATGATGTCGAGGGTGGGGGGAATAGAGTTTAATTTTTTTCATCCTCCCCATTGTCAGTTTCTAGAGGTAAAATTACAACTGTCAAAAGCTACCATGAAAAAGAAATACAGGTATAGGAATGGTGGGAAGAATGTTGTAGTGCAGAACTTGAGATAAAATAGTATCTAAGCCTACATTAACAGCACTTTTGGGAAGCATTAACTTCATTTTGATTGTTAACCAAGGGCTGATTAAGCCTAAGATGGGATGAGCTGGTTTGAATTTAAAAATAAATTGAGATCAGAAAGGATAACTAGGATAATGGTTTTTAAAGAAAAAAGGGGAAGGAGGGGAAAGGCCGGTCAAATAGCTCAGCAGATTAAAGCACCTGCAAGCAGGGGCTGGGGGTTCAATCCCCGGGCCTACTGTACCAGCCCTGCCCCCAGGGTGTGCTGAGAGGCAGTTGAGACTGAGTGGGGTGGTGTGCGCCTGTAATCCCAGCTCTTAGGAGGCTCTAAACAGGCGGATCCAAACTAGTAGTGAGACCCTGAACACCCTGTAGACCCTTTCCTAAAAAGAAAAAGAGGGGAAAGGTGAAGTGACTTGGGGATGAGTCAAGAAGCTGGAAAAAAGCAGATAATGGGACTGGAGTGCAGAGCCCAGGGTTCCATCTTCAACATTGAAACAAAAACAATGACAATAAACAACCTATGATAATAGCGTAGGTTGCAGAGGAAGGCAAGGCATCAGAGAACGTTAAGACCAGAACCTAAATTAAATCTCATCTCTCGCTAAGGGACAAAGGTGTGTAGGGCATTTCCTGTCTGTGACCACCAATGTCAGCCTTGGACAGAGTTTAGGAGAGATGGAGCTCATAGGATAGAGCCTAATGACATGAACATGGAGGTATGAGTGAGATTTGGGTAAATCTTAAGATGTGCCGTTTCTCTTCCTAGGAAAGGCTTTAAACTGGTGATCTTGGATGAAGCTGATGCCATGACTCAGGATGCCCAGAATGCCTTGAGAAGAGGTAAGCGCTGCCAAGCGCTGCACTGTGCACCTTACGGAAACTGAGGAACTGAGATGCTGACGTGCGTGCTTTCCGTTTTTCTTCCTCCTCTGGCCCAGCAGAACCTTTCTCCACATTCCTGACAACCTAGGCAAAATGTGTAGCCAAGGATTCCCCTTCGGCAGCTTAAGCACAGGGCCCTCTTGGGACTTCTGTTTTTGCTTTTGTGCAGTACTAAGGCTCAGACCCAGAGGTGCTTTACTACTGAGCTATATCCCCACCCCTTTTTCTTCATATTTTTTAATAAGGGAGGATCATGCTTAGTTGTCCAGTTAGGACCCAAATTTGCAATTCTGGCTCATCATCCCTGAGCACTGGACGGAGCTGCTGGCACTTGTACGCATGCCCGCTCACTGGTCATCTTCCTTTGCTGCAAGATTCAGTTCCAGGGTGGAGATTTACATCATTCAGTGGGAGGATATGGAAAGTCTTTTCTTTCTAAACTGTTGGATAGGCCCTGTGCCATTGGTGCCTTTAGATAGAAAGGAGTCAGGAGAAGAGTATCTGGAGTAAAGGGGCACTCTGCAAGCTGGCATTCCCTTTCTGCTTGCTAAGTGAGTGATTTGGCAGGGAGAAGAGAACCCCCTGATCCATCCATCTGATAGGATCCACTGCAGTTATTTGTGGCTTTTTTTTTTTTTAGACAGTCTCGCTGTGTAATTCCAGGCTGGCCTTGAAGTCACTGTGTAGCCCAGGGTGGCCTCAAACTTCTGACAGTCCTCCTGCCTCAGGCTCTCGAGCGCTGGGGTTACAGTAGTGCACCACCTCACTGGACTTCAGTTACAGGAGCTTAACGTGCGCCCTCATTAAGATTCTGAGGGAGTCAGCTGAGAGAGAAAGATGCTTCTTGGGAGCTCGGGAAGCAAGGAGTGGACTGCAGCAAGTGTTGAGGAGGAGGAGGGGGAGGACAGTTAACATGTCTCCTGGCCCTAGGAGCGTTGGCAGCCTCTCTTCAGCATCTTGTTCCACAGAGTGACTGTCAGTCTGGGCCGATCCCCATGCAGGAACACTGGGTCCCCGCAGGATGACGGTGGCGTTCCAAGCATCCCTCAGCTGGGGTGGTTGCTCTTGCGAGCTCAGCTTCCCAAGGCCCCTGGCAAGTCTGCACAAAGCTGTCCCCCTCCTGCCTGGAGAGCGTGAAGCGTCACCTCCTGCTGGGTAGCATTTTGCACCAAAAGGATAGGATCCTGCGCGCTGGAGCTCAGGTCCTAAGGGATGAGGCAGCAAATGCCAAAAGCAGGGCATATCAAGAAACAACAGCATTTTCTAAAATCCCACATTCATTAGTTTTGAAAGAAGAGTGGCTGGTCTCTTGTTTTGGGTACCCGTAATACCCTGTCCCCCACAGGTAGCATCTCTTGCACTTTGCACCTTACTCTGACCTCAGGAAAGTTTAGGGTTTCCATGGCCCTTGAAGAGTTGGAGTGGATTTTGACAGGAGGTGTTTTTATTTTCCTTCACCAGTGATTGAGAAGTTCACTGAGAATACCAGATTTTGCCTCATCTGTAACTATCTGTCCAAGATCATCCCAGCCTTGCAGTCTCGGTGTACGAGGTTCCGGTTCGGTCCCCTGGCTCCTGAACTCATGGTCCCCCGCCTGGAGCATGTGGTAAAAGAAGAGAAGTGAGTGTACTGGAAAGCAAGCAAGGCGAGGGCGGGGGCTGAGGAGCGTGGGCAGGGCCCTGGGATGCTGGCTGCTGCCCACGGGGAGGCAGTAGCTTTGGCAAATGACTTAGCAGAATGCCTTGCGCAGGAGGAGTGCCGGGGACTGCTGGCTGCTGTCGTTTTCTCTGGTATCTCACGGACATTCTTCCTCATAAAAGTCATTTGGTTTTTCTTGATTCCCTCCTCCTCCTCTGGAAGCTGTCCCAATTTCCTCCTACTCTTTGTCATTGGAAACTGCACACTGCCGAGTCCCTTCTGCAGATGCTGCCAGCCTTTTTAGACTAGAAGGGAGGTTCTGAGCCATTGCATTCCGAGGCATCAGATGCCGAGCAAGTAGCTTCCCCATGCGGCTGCTTATTCTGAAGGTTTCTTGGGCCCTGTGGTTACACGAGGGCTCCCCCTGGGGAACGTAAGTCACAGCTGGCTACTCAGTTAAGGATTCTTGGTCCTGAAGAAGGGTCTTCCTAGATTTGGGGTACACTGTCATTCCTAATATGTGGAACCCCTAAGAACCATAGTGATCTCTAGATAGCGTACAGTAGGAGAGTATCATATCATTGGCTCTTTCTCCTTCCCTTCACTAAAGCCTTCACCCTGCAAGGCCATCTCAGTCCCCTTGGTGACACTGCTCTCAAGGGCTTTGCAAATCCCTGTCGCATGTTTGCTTCCAGAGTTGATGTAAGTGAAGATGGAATGAAAGCACTTGTGACTCTCTCCAGCGGAGATATGCGAAGGGCTCTCAACATTTTGCAGGTTGGTCCTACTCAAGGCACTCTGCGAGTCGTTGTTACGTGTTTTTAGTACAGTGTCTCTGGGGTCTCCCTGCACAGATAGGACTCGCGGGGGTCCTCCTGCGCTGGGATTGCAGGCGCGCACCACCATGCCCAGTCTCAGTGACCATCTCAGCGCGCCCCGGGGCGGGGCTGGCACTCGCAAAACACGCCAGGGATTGATTCCCATCCCTGCGACTGCCTAAGCAGTCAACACCTTTTCAACAAAGTATCAACCTGTGATTAAGTCCAGAAATCTGGAACTGTCAGGACATCTCTCGTAAAGTTCCAGATCCCAGCCCCTTGTATTTTGATTAATTGAAAGAATCATTTGTCATTAACAAAGTAAAGGTAGGGAGGATTCTGCAGCTCTGACAGCCAGCAAAAACACACCATCCTGGCCTGTGTCATCTCACTGCTGTGGCAAGTTCTCCCTGGCCACCTGAAGCCTGGCACGTGCTGACAGCCTCTGGGATGTCCCCCTCTGTCTATATAGAGCACCAACATGGCCTTTGGGAAGGTGACTGAGGAGACTGTCTACACCTGCACAGGGCACCCGCTCAAGTCAGACATTGCCAACATTCTGGACTGGATGTTGAATCAGGACTTCACCACAGCCTACAGAAGTATCCTTTTTTTGAGTCCACCACCGTGTTACATGCCTGAGGCCTGCAGGTGGCCCCAGGAATTCATGCTGCGGCAGCACCTACACCGTGCTGGCCAAGGACCACTGGCTGCTTGTGGCTTTGGTCAGCTTGTTGGGGAAATCAGGGCTTGTAGGTGGAGTACTTGTTCTTAACACCTCCAGAGTTCTGCCTCACTGCCTTTGTCCTGTGTAAGGCTTAAAACAACTTGGCTCTCAGATGGAAGACACAATAATTTTAAAATGACCAATGTTAGCTATTATTTTGCCATGAAAGTAAAAGCTAGGAATGGTGACATGAAACTGACTGAGGAATACGTTTGACTGTATTCTTCACTAGGACATACAACTGTACCTTCTATAAAACCCTTACTGGAGACAAAATGGTTAAAAAGAAACAATCAGACCCTAATATGAAACTTGACATTCGAAACAGCTGTGCTGCAGTTAAAGCCCCTACTTTTAAATCCCTCTCCAGGGTTTGGACTTAAATTTCTCTGCGGTCTGTTTGCTCTGGAACTTGTTCCTGTGTCTTAACTGCTCCTTTCTAGATATCATGGAGTTGAAGACTCTGAAGGGGCTGGCATTACATGACATCCTGACCGAGATTCACCTGTTTGTACACAGAGGTAACCTGCACCAGTCCCCAGCTGAGAAGCTCACACTTGAGGATTAAGGGACATTAGAAAGTGAATGAGCCCCGCCCCTTTTTTTAGACAGGGTCTCAACGTGTAGTTCAGAGTGGCCTTGAACTTCAGCTATCCTGCCTCAGTCTGAGTGCTAAGATTTGAAGAGTACTACCACACTCAGCTCAAACCTTTATTCTTGAAGCAAAGAAATGAGTGAAGTAGTATAAATCTCAGCCTTGAATTTCTCTAGTAATCCTGTCTTGTTATTTAAAATTTTGTTTCATACAGGCATGGTAGGCTGAGGCAGGAGGATTGCTGTAAGTTTGAGGCCAGCCTGAACCAGAGTGAGACCCCATCTCAAAAAAAAGGGGGAGATGATCCATTTTTGTGTAAACCAAAGCAGTCCTAAGGAGACTGTCTTAAGTTCCACACCTGCTCACACCTTCCGTGTAAGGGAGGGAGGGATTCTTCTCAGTCCCCATGGCCCCCAGGAATCACCTCAGAGCCACTAAATCAGCTTCTGGGGCCAGCCAGCATCAGCGCTGTTTCCTGGGCCCCTGCACAGCTTTTTGGAGAAGCTTCTGTCTTAAGTCCCCTGCACATGGGGAGACCTTATGTCACTGAGTGTTGGGTTTTTCTGTGCAGAGCTTTTTGTATTATTTTGGTGGTACTAGGATTGAACCTAGGGCCTTTTCACTGGGTAACAGCCCCTGCCCTTTTTTTCTTTTTAACTTTGACACACTAAGTGATGCTGAGTCACTAAGTTGACTAGGTTGGACCTGAATTTGTGATGCTCCTGCCTCAGCCTCCCAGACTGCTAGGATTGTAGGCCTGCACCACCACACTCAACCCAATGGTTTTGAAGTAGTTTTAAAACTGGGACCGTGAGAACTCAGATTTCACGTTAACTAGTGAAACTACCCAGAAAAATAGTGTTGCTAGCCCTTCTATATGCTTATAATCACTTCGAAATTTGGTATATACACATGTACATGCGTACTTTTAACTGTAAGAATCAAAATAAAATGGGTTTTTAAAAAGTATGAAATCCAGATTGTCTTTACTTAAGAGGTCTGGTCTGAGGCCTCAGAAGTTCATTATTTTCTGTATTTTTTTGATAGTAGAAGTGACAGCTTTCACTCATAAGACTTTTTTTATCCCTCAGTTGACTTTCCGTCTTCAGTTCGAATTCATTTATTGACCAAAATGGCAGACATTGAGTGAGTATTTTCATTTTTTTCCTGTTGTGAGTTGTTTTCTGTTTGGTTTCAGCCTCTTATCCACATCATGCCCATGTGCTTCAATCTGGTTTGGGGCAGTAGCAAATGCAGCGTGGCTAAGGCTGTGAGTTAGGTCCAGAACACGGGAGTTAGAGCAGAGGACGGGCAGATCAGTTGCACACGGGAGGGCTCTCCAGCCCCACAGGCTGGGCCCCTCTGGGTTCCGGGGCTCTTGCATTTGTGCAGCCACTTCAGGTGGACATCCAGGTCATTTGGGGTCGACCAGCTATCCAGCTGTTAAGGGATTTTGGCACACTGAAGCATACTGAGGAAGAAGTAAACACAAAATTTTCCACTTTGCCTGGTTCAGTAAACACTGTTATTAGCCCCCACTGAAGCTGGCAGCTATCATTTAAGTAGACAGAGCATTGGCTTTCAACTAGATGTGAGCATAAGCTGCTCTGATGTACTGTCGTTGGCTTTCATGTGCACAAATTAGGTCACTTCTTAGAGCTGTACTGTCAGCATGATTTTGCTTGTGATGGCTGGGCACACAGAAGGTGGCAGATGAACTGCCACTGTCTCACTTTACCACAGGCCCCAGATACACTTCCCAGTGAAATGTTCAAAGAGAAATCTCCATTTTATTTACTCAATGCATTTTGCAGGTGAAGAAATAATCCTTAATAACAAAGTTCAGAACACTGCTGTTGATTTAAAATTTGTCTTCAGCAGTGTGAATTCAATTTCCAAATCAATATGGAAGGCAAGAAAATGTTATCAGGGGCTGGGGAGATGGCTCAGTGGAATAAGTGCTTTCCTGGCAAGTGCAAGGGCCTGAGTTCAATCCCTGGTTCCACAAAAAAGAAAAGAAAAGAAAAGAAAAGAAAAGAAAAGAAAAGAAAAGAAAAGAAAGAAAGAAAGAAAGAAAGAAAGAAAGAGAAAGAAGAAAAAAAAGAAAAGGTTAAGGGAACACATGAAAGACCTCTTGCTGTCCTGGATGTTTTCATTGATTCCCAGCCCCTCAACACTCAGCCTTTGCACTCTCCTATGCTCCAGGCTAAGGCAGTGTTCCACTCTATTTTCTTCGTGCTTTTGCTTCCTTTCAGGTACAGGCTTTCTGTTGGCACCAGTGAGAAGATTCAGCTGAGTTCCCTCATTGCCGCTTTCCAAGTCACCAGAGACCTGATTGTGGCAGAGGCCTAGATGTCCCAGGGCCCCATCAGGGACTACGGAAGCAGAGCACTCAGGCTGGGATAACACATTGCCTGGCTATGCAGTGAAGCCAGTCTGTCTCCTGTTTTGGAAAACCATTCCAAAGTACTTTATCTGTGGCTGTTCGAGTTAGGATGTACAAAACGCTGTTGACGCACAACTGCCTTACCATCTTTCATAGGCATCTATTTTCTTCCCAGATTTAAGGCTTTCACCTTTCAGTTACTTGGGTGACAGGATTTGGCTTATCTAGTTTCAGTCTGGAACATGAGATTTTAAGTCTGTTATGTATGGTTCAAATGTCTTCCAACATCTCTAAAGTTTCTAAATTTTAATTTTTGATACTGCCTTTAAACAGGTGCTAATGGATTTCTGGCCACAACTCCTAACAACAGTGAAGTCTTAAATTTTGGGGGGTTTTTTGGGGTGCTTTTTGAGATAGTGTGTTTCATAGACTGGCTCTGAACTTGGGGCAGTCTTCCTGCCTCAGCCTCCCAAGTGCTGGAATTACAAGCATGTGCCACCATATTGCTTCCTAAAATTTCTTTTGGAATTTTTAGGTGTTTTTGAGATACGGTCTCATTGTGCACGCAGTTCACTAACCTTGAGCTCACTTTGTAGCCCACGCGGGTCTTGAACTCTCCAGCAATCTTCCTGCCTCAGCCTCCAGAAAGCCGGGATTACAGGCATGTGTCACCACACCCAGCTTGTTTACTGTAAAAACTCATCGTTTTATTTCCCCTCTTAAAGACTTACCAACAGGTTCCAGATTGTAACACTATGAAAGCACTATAATAAAGAGCCATTAAATTGTGGTGACATTGTGAGCCACTGGCAATATAAATCTTTTTTAATCCAGGGAGGACATGTGAGATGTAAGCCAGAGTCTAACTGCTGGAAGGGCTGGACTTTCTCTACAAAGGTAGCAATCTTCTAGCAGTTTTGTAGCACTTACATGTTTCACAGCAAAAATAAAGCACTGGCCTGCAGGTTGTAAGACTCTTCTGTGGCGGATTAGAGATGCCTTGTCCACCTTGCATGTACAGTAAATCTTTTGGTCTGGTGGCACAGAGTATTTCCTTTAGAGACTTCCTTACAAGTGTCACGTTCTTGGGCCTCAAGTAGTTTGACTTTTTCAACTTGGTACAGAAGGATCATGAGTTTAGTAGAAACTGGACTTCAAATTTTCATCTTCCCCAGGCTGCCAACATGTAGTGTAATACCCTAGTGACAGCAGAGAGCAGCAGCAAGCCACAGCTCCTGCTGGCCACATGATTATGAGGGAAGTAACTGACACTAGGCAGTGAACTACGTCAGTGAGCTATGGGGGTCAGTCGATGTGTGAGGCACATCTGCAGCTGGGTGTTTTCAATGTACTGTGACATTAGTGGGATGGAGCCCTGTATGTAGCAGCACGTGTGCACCATCAGGTAAAAGTAGGGCTGTGGGCATGGCTCAGGGCACTTGCCTCGCAAGAGGCCATGGGTTCTGTTCTCAGCATCATGTAAGTAAGCAGGAGTCAGTTATTTCCTCCACCATAGAGAAGTCACTACCAAGGATACCAGTAGAGTTTGAATCAGCTGGCCAAGTACAGCCTCAGAGTAGCCACCAAGAGCCTCAGCCGCTGCTATAGGTATTCCCTTAAGGTAACCAACACTGAAAAGATAAACAGAAAACGATAAAGTTGATCAACTGTTCCCAGTCTCCCACTGAACTACCTGTTTCAAAAGGTGTTTATTTTTTTAAGGAAAAAAATGAAACGAAGGTAAAAGCTTTTTTTCTTCCTTCAATGAATGCCTCATTTTGAATGTGTTCATCAAGCAACAGAAGGTAGAGGCCATTCCTCTATCCTCCACAAGTAGTATGTTGCACTGCCTCCATAAAGCATTAAGAAAGCCAAAGAATAAGATGTTGCATTTCTTTTAAAATAATTTAAAATATATTAAATTTTCCTAAGGCAGATTTTTGTCTGGATGAGGTGTCTTAACCACATGCCACTGAAGGAGAACAGGACTTTTAAGAAGCTATTTCTGTTTAGGTGTAGAGTTGAGACTGGCTGATGAGTCCAATGAGGTCAAGCAGCACAGAAAGACATGTAGGAATACAAGCGGAAGTGACGACAGCAGCAGTTCTTCACACAGCTGAGACGCATCTTTACAACTGGTCCATTTAAGTATTCTGGTCTTTTGCTACCATTGAGAAAAACACAGTTGTACCTTAATACAGTATCTGTGAAAAACACAAATAAATATGATGCTAATAAATGGCCAACAACTGACAACTTGGTAGCCATTTGAACAGTCATGCAGTTTAGAAGTAAATCCTCATATAATCTGACATACAAGTTTGTCACCTGCACATGCACACCACCGCTTAACAATAAAAACAGCCAATAATAGTGTCTATCGGTCAGGAGCACACAACCTGTTTCACTTGTGACTCAATGAACATCTTATACGAAAAGGCGCCTTGGAAATTTGATCCTACAGAGGGGAGTTCAAGGGCAACCCCTGCCAACCTGGAAGCTCCCCTGACCACAGCAGGAAGGAGGGAGCTTTAGATCATGCTACAGCTGCACCAAATGGGTGACAGGTACGCTACATGGCAGCCACTCCAGCTGAAGGAGTGCAAGCTTTGCCACCACTGAAGAGGCTCTGGCAGCCTGCTTGCTTTGTCATCAGAACAGCCTCTGAATCTGAACAACTAGAAGTTCAACATCTGCCGTTTACAAGTGGACTGAAGATTTAAGGTAAGGCTGTCACAGCTCAAGAGGAATGTCCTCTGAAATGGCCTTGCATGTGCCATGGAGGAAAAGGCCCACGGTGAGTCCACTGCTCTCTAGCTTGCTACATTCTATTCACAATCCCAAAGAAATTCTGTTCCAATTCGAGCATATCTTTGGCTCATTCTTCCAATTTCTTCCTTTGCCAAGAGGATTTATTCTGCCACAGAGAAAAGATGTGTAGCGTTGCTTAAAAAGTCCTATACGTGAGGAACTCTTTCATTTTCTTGGGGATTGGCAGTGCTAGGACTTGGTAGGTGGTCAGGAAACTTCGAAGGGCTTTCCGGCATAAGTGCTTCAATGAGGACAGAACTCTGGGGGCAGTCCAGAACTGGACGTGGCCATCTCTTGTCCTGAAATAAAAGCAACCAGCACAGTAAGGGTGACCCTAGAAGTTTACATTTTCTTACAATGAATAGTGATTTCTTTTATTCTTGGACAGTGATTTGACCAAAAGGTGAACTGCAACTCAAACTGGGAACAGATTAAAAAGTGTGTTGATAGTTGGGTGTGGTGGCATCCAGCTCAGCATTTGGGAGGCTGAGGCAGGAGGACTGCTCCAAGTTTGAGGCCAGCTGGGAGCTACATAGTTCAAAACCAATCTGAACTATATAGTGAAACCCTGTTGATAAAAATAAAAGGCATGCTAATACATAAAAAATGCTGACAGGATAAGAACTGAAGATGTTAGCTAGACATGGTAGCTCACACTAATCTCAGCCCTCTGGGAAGATTTCAAATTCAAGCCTGAGCAACTTAGACGCTATCTCAAAAATCAAAAGTTAAAAGGCTGGGGATATAGCTCAGTATGAAAACCTAAATTCAATCCCCAGTATAAAAACAAAGCCAAAGATGTAGCATATGCCTGTGGTCTCAGCTATTGAAGGGACTGAGGCAAGAGAATCTCCTAAGCCCAAGTTTAAATTCATCCTAGGCAACAGCAAGACTGTCACAAAATAAACAACCCACCTCAAGACACCTGCTCCCACTAGCATCTGTCAGCACAGCCCTTTCTGCACAGGAGTGCAAAGGAAGAAGGCGGCCACTACTGAACTATGGGTGTTACCTGTAAGGCTGCCACAGCTAGAAGTAAATGGTTTCCCATATAAATTTTCTTTTTTGTCTTTGAGACAAGGTCTCTTTATACAGTTCAGGCTGCACTTAAGCTCACTTTGTAGTCTAGGCTGGTCTCCAACTTGTAATGATCCTCCTGCCTGAGCCTCCCAAATGCTGGGATTACAGGTATTGTACCACCTGGCCCAGCACCACCTACATAAATTCTCTTAATTTATACTCCCATATTGACCTGGCCCACTAGGTGGCAAGAACAATGGGCTTTTCATCATACCTATGTTAAGTATCAAGAGTAAGCAATACAATGGCAGAACAGAATATTTAATTTTTTTGTACAGGGTCTCACACAGCTCACTCCTGTTTTCGGCCTCCCCAGCACTGGGATTACAGGCATGTGCCACCATACCCACTCTTGGTGGCCAACTCTGGATTGAACTGTGGTCCCTGCATGCTTAATCCACTGAACTATCTCACCAGCCCTCAGACTATTTAAATCCTCAATAATGGATTTCATTTAAGGGTTTGTCACAGCAATGGAATTCTAGATGTTTCTTCCCTTATAAAAAAACTACATGGTATGCCTAGCAGAACTGCTGTATCTGTTCAGCTAAGAGATACATACCCTGTGGCAATAACTCCACCATGTGGAAAAAATGTGCAGCAAAGACCATTGGTCATAGGAGCAAATGCAATCGGAGCCTTCAGTTCCAGGGCCCAGATTCTGAGGAGCCTGCACAAAAGACAGACACAGTCACACCTTAGCTGTCTAAGACCCGACTGAGAGGGGAATACCACAATGCTACCGTCACCTACTCTGAGGCCTCCCAAAGAGACCTCTGGTTACCTGTCATCTGCCACTGTAGCAAGGTACAAGCCTTCGGGAGAGAAGCACACAGATCTCAGTGAGCTCATGTGGACATCGCTGTCATCCATGGTAGGGTCGAGCTGAGTGTGGCTGCAGGGAAAAAAAAAAACCAGGCCAGTAGGCTAGAGTGAGGGCCACTCTCCCTCTGCACCCTCACCTGAGGCAGGAGCCCAAACTACTGTGGCTAGTGCCCTGGATGAGAAAAATGGGCCCCTCAGAAGGCTCCAAGTGTCTAGAGAGGGCTGGAGGATTAATGGCACTTCCTTGTGCTAATTTCCTTATGCAAAGTAGGTCAGTCTGCATCTTAATGCCACAGTACAAACAGAAAGCCTTTTTTAGGCTGAGATACATGATAATTATAGGACTACCTATTTGTTTCATCAAACAAGAGACAAAAGCAAAAAGTAGACCAAGTCTGTGAGACAACGAAAATTCAGATTAGAAATGAGTTTCCACCAGAGGATTGTTCTGAAGTTGGTACTACAGTTATTACTAAATGGAAATAAAGAGTCACTCTGAGGTTTCATAACATGAACCCAAAGAGGTACAGAGAGCTTCCTAAAGCAGAAGACATGAGGACACTTGGGTCTGATTTACAGAGCAAAGTGACATGGAAGCAATGACTGCTTTTAGAAGCAGGCCATCCCCTCCCCTGTCCCAGACTTCCAGGAAGTAGCAGCAGAAATTCAATCCTTACTGAAGCGATCTCAGCCTTTCACCAGTGTAGGGGTCCCACATAATCACATTGGTGTCATAAGAAGCCGTGACAAGCAGGGCAGAGTCAGGGGAGAAGTCACAAGACACAACACTGCTTTGGTGGCCCTCTAACTTCCGGATTAAGGTGTAGGACCTCATGCTCCATAGAAAGACCTGTGGAGAGAGTAACAGGTGCCCGGTGAGAAACAGGAACAGAGAGCTCGTGGCACAAAACAGCAGTGCAAGGCACTACACTCCCTTCCTTGAGACGTACTGCCAGGTAAAATTACATTCTTTGCAGCATTTCCAGAACCTACCATATAGGCTGAAGTAAAACACTGGCTCTGAATTCTCCAGCCACTTTCTGAAAATGTTTTGTTTAAGAGAGAATAAAGCAGGCCAACTTTAAGAAGGCTGCCAGCTAAAATGATCTACTGAGGCTTTTACACTGTTTAAAAATAGGGTAGAATATGTTCGGAAAATAGGCAAAGTGAAATCCTGTTACACTTGAAGCCAAAAACAAAGAGCAGAAGGAACTTCAGAGCCACACCACACCTGTGTGCAGCATCCAGAACTCGATCCAGGCTCTAAAGCTCACCTAGCTCATCATTTACCTTTCTGGGAATGATTTAAAGTAGGATTTCATTTTCTCTCCTTTAAGAAAATGCTGTCTCGGGGCCGGGGAGATAGCTCAGCAGAATAAGCACTTGCCTGGCAAGCACAAGGGCCTGAGTTCAGTTCAG